AAAATGTGATGTTTATCTGCTTACCCCCAGGGCATCCAAGATGTAGGTGACTTTGTTTCTTCAGTAGAACACAAACTGAGATTTTTAAGTCAAACCGTTGCAGTCTGTCAGTCCTATAATACCAGTGGAAGGGAATCACGGCTTTGAGAGTCATAAAACATACACAGACAACACCAAATTAAACCCTGCGGCTCGTGATGATACATTGATGTGAAAAGATGTATCATCACGAGCCGCAGGGTTTAATTTTGTTTTGTCTGTGTATGTTTTATGACTCTCAAAGCCATGATTCCCATCCACTGACATTATAGGACTGACAGACTGCAACGGTTTGACTTAAAAATCTACTGAAGGAACAAAGTCACCTACATCTTGGATGCCCTGGAGGTAAGCAGATAAACATCAAATTTTCATTTTTGGGAGAACTATCCCTTTAATGTTGATAAAGTTACTGAAGTTGGTTAGTGTGTAACTGAAGAGTTTGTATAATTCGTAATTCACTGCCTTGTAAAATAAAGGAGTTTCTTAATCGTTGTTTCAATGTTTTGGATGTTTTGATAAATAATGATTTTGTGAGAAGTGTGAGAAACAGATATGTGTTAGTGTTTGACATTGGGTAAGGGGTTTTTGTTTTGTGGCTTGCTCTTAATGAATGAGCTTTAAATGTGTGTTTTATATATGTGTGTGTGTGGGTCAGGTCATTTGTGGCAGCATTTTCGAGGTGCTCTGGGCTATGATCCAGCCAGGAACCTCGTTTGGGATCAGTGTGTTACGAGCTCTCAGGTTACTGAGGATCTTCAAAGTGACCAAGTGAGTCTCTCACGTCTTGAGTCCCATGTCTGTCTTTCCGTCCCACTCTTTGTCCCTTTGAAATGTTTTAAGAAGGACTAAGCATTTTAAATGTCCCCCTTTCCCATTATCAGGTATTGGGCGTCTCTGAGGAACCTGGTGGTGTCTTTGCTGAACTCCATGAAGTCCATTATCAGTTTACTCTTCCTCCTTTTCCTCTTCATTGTGGTCTTTGCATTGCTGGGCATGCAGCTGTTTGGAGGACAGTCAGTATAGCACTAAAATACACATAATAATAGAAAATGTTACTTATTTATTTATTTATTATGGGTCACCAGAGTCAGTACAGGCCCTAAATAAGGCACGGCATGGAAATACTCTGTGTAACAATAATATAACCACCATTTCTTCTCTTCAGGTTTAATTTTGAAGCTGGCACACCACCAACAAACTTTGATACTTTTCCTGCAGCAATAATGACAGTATTTCAGGTAAGCAAAAAGTGCCCATTGAACAGTGTGCAATCATTCTGTGTGTTTTTTCCATGGCTTTGTGATTATGGACCTTTTCTCTGCACCTTAGATCCTAACGGGTGAAGATTGGAACATGGTCATGTATGATGGGATCGAGTCTCAGGGCGGAGTCAGAAAGGGCATGGTCTTCTCAGTCTTTTTCATCGTTCTTACGCTCTTCGGCAACTGTATCCATACACAAAATATTGCATGCTGACACGTTGTTAATTTTCACATATGCACACCAGTGAAGCATTAATGTGATGTTCCTTAACCCGTCTGTGAACAGACACTTTGCTCAATGTGTTCTTGGCTATCGCTGTGGACAATCTGGCCAATGCACAAGAGCTGACCAAGGTAAAATGTTGCCACACTTTTAGGGTAATGGATCAAGAGTTAAAAACAAACAAACAAGCAAACAAACAAATAAAAAAAAGTAAAATTCAGTAAAAAAAGAAAAGCTTTATTTACACACAGCCATGCTCATGTAAAATTAAATATTAAAAGATAAAGATTTATGATCATTTTAAATATTTTCTTTATTTTCTTATGGTTTCTCCTTCTTTCTCTCAGACTGTTTATCCTTCACACTCTTACGCACCAGTGTGCATCACATTTTAACCAATATGCTTCATGTTTCTCTCCATGTATAGGATGAACAGGAGGAAGAGCAGGCAGCCAATCAGAAAATGGCTCTTCAGGCAGCCAAGGAAGTAACAGAGGTCAGCCCACTGTCTGCAGCCAGCCTCTCCATTGCTGCGTGAGTATCTCTCTCTCATCTCTTTCTCTTTCTGTCTTGCTGCCACATTTTCTCTCCCACAATTTCTTTGTCTTCCCTTTATGTTTGTTTTTATCTGTTCAGGCTATGTGTTGCTCTTGTGTCAGCCAAATTAACATAGGGGTCAATAATAGAAAACAAAATAGCAACACTTTTTCAATCTGGCTTTTTGGTTTCCATCAATCAAAAGTCAAAAGAGCAGCATTTATTTGAAATAGAAATCCTTTTGTAACATTATAAATGCCTTTACTGTCACATCAATTCAATATGTCCTGGCTTAATAAAAGTATTAAGTTCTTTCCAAATAATTTATAAATAAATATAAATCTTACTGACCCCAAACATAAACTATAGTTCACAAAGACACAAATTTCTTTGTTTCCCCCCCGGCCAAACTATTTGTAGAAAATCAAAAAGGAATCAGAACCTATGTTTTTAATGACAAACTGTAGATAGGATCACATTGTATCCTACTGGAAATACAGTTTGGGTTGGTAAGTGTATTTTGGAACATACAGTAGATTCTAACTGGTTGTTAGCTTAATTTTGGAACATGGTTAACCAGCAAAAAAAAAATACTAAAGTTACTATGTTCCAAAACACAGATTTAAAGAAACATACATAATTTTCTGTTATGTCTGGTGCTATAGACCTATAATGTTGTGTTCCCTGTCCATCAACAAGCTCATCTGTGATCTTCTCACAGTTATATACACACAACTTACATGCAGAGGCACAGAATGATTAAAGATGATTCCGGTTTGTCAATGCATCCAAGTATTTGTGAGGAAAAGAAGAGAGAATCGTGAGAAAATATGTGTGTATCAGTGAGGACGAGCTTGTGAATGAGGGAGAAGAGCAAAGAGATGTTCTGTGTTTCTCACATGCTGTTTTCCTCCTCAGCGTGACAGTAAACTCTGAGCGTCTTGATGCAACAGAACACTTTCTGGACTGGTATTTATTCATTTATACTCTTTCTGTTCTTTCAAAATGCCTCTCTGTTCGCCCCACACCTCCCACTCTTCTCCCATCAGCCTTTTCGACATGTGCATTTCCTCCTCGGTTGTCTGTGCTGCTCCCCGCTCTGTTCTCCAGACCGCTGGGTGGGATGGGGCGGGTTTGTCACTCCTCGTCTCTTCTTCTCTCTTCATCCTGCTACTCATCACCTGCTGTTCTCCTCTTATCTCCTTTACTTTCTCTCTTTCACATGCTTTGCTCCAAGGGTTGGGCGCCTGTGATGTGTTCACTCACAGAATTATTATAGTTATCTTCTTTGTGTGTGTGTGTGTTCTGTGAGTGAGTTTGACCCAAGCGGTGCAATCATCCTCTTTAACAAATGGTAGCTGGTAGCTTGTAGGTGGGCATTTTCAGCCTGCGGTAGCTGCAGCAAGCTCACTTTTCCCTCTTAATGATTACTAATCCCAGATCTACTGTAAATGTCTCTCTCTCTGTACCTCTCTCTTTTTTTGCAGTAAGGAGCAACAGAAGAACCACAAAGGTTGTAAGTCGGTATGGGAGCAGCGCACTAGTGAGTTGAGACGACACACCCTGATGAACAGCAGAGAGGCTCTTTACAATGAGTTGGACCCTGAAGACCGCTGGAAGGTGGGAAGAAATGACAGGGAAAGAGATGCTTGGTCAAAGAGGATGGATTTATGTATCTGTTATCAGCTGATATATTTTTTCGCATCGGTCGATATTGCATATTTAATTGTACTTTTCCTCTGTTTTTAGATTTCGAATAGCTTTGCCATAATCTAACGTTCACGTAAAGTGAATATTTAAAAACACAAATAATTTAATAACACTGTTAAATGTAATCTCAAATCTCAAAATGAATATCCATTATTATTTTGAATATTTATAATGTTGCGTTTCCTAAATTCACTTTATGATTGGTTTCGTTTAAAATGATTGGTTTTAGTTTTTAGTGTCTTATTTTCATTTATTTAGACAAAATAGCATCAAATTTAAATATCAGCCATTTATTCTTTATTGAGCATAACATTAAAATAATTAGAAGCTTATCGAATCAGTAAGAATACTGATATTGGTGTTTTTTTTAAATGTTTCATAATAATATATACAGTGACCCCAGTTTACAGGTTCACTGTGTTTCACTGTGTACAGTGTTTTTATTTTTTTATTCAGTATTTCTGTCTTGTTTTCCATTATTTAAACATCCTTTAAGCAAGATAAGTCTACTAAATAATCTTTTAAACAATCCACAAGCAAAATACTAAGTATTATGATATTAATATTTATTATTTTCATATAAATAAAATAAATTTAAATAAATAGATATTAAAGGGTTAGCTTTCCCAGAAATAAAAATACAGTTGTTCCAAACCTGTATGAATTTCTTTCTTTTTTTATATTTTGAAGAATGTTGGTTACCAAACAGTTTCTGGTCCCTATTGACTTTCATAGTATTGTTTTTTCCCCATACTATGGAAGTCAGTGGGGACCAGCAACTATTTGGCTACCAACATTCTTCAAAATGTCTTCTTTTATGTTCCACACAAGAAAGAAGGTCATACAGCTTTAATGTTTAGGTTTTAATATTTAGGTCTTGAATTAAGTTAATCTCTTGTTTGATTGACAAATGTGTGGTCTTTTGTTTTGCTTTTATCATGCCTGTAGGTCTCGTACTCCCATCACATTCGTCCCAATATGAAGACACACCTGGACCGGCCGTTGGTCGTGGACCCTCAGGAGAACCGCAATAACAATACCAACAAAACCCGTCCGGGTGACGGCCAGCCCCAGCGCACTCATCAGCTCCTGCACAAACAGCCCAACTTCAATGAGGGGGAGAGTGGAGGAGGAGGGGGATCTGGGCCCTGGACAGCGTTGGAAAGGGGGGACTCCACAGGATCCCGTCGGAGTCTTTTAGGCTCTGAGAACCATGGAGAGGGTAGAGAGTCTCACCGCAGACATCAGCATGGCGAGCGCTGCAGCCAGGCCCGCCAACATCGTAAAGCCGCAGAGGATGAGGGAGAGGGTAAAGGGAAGAGACATAGGAATAAGGGCAGGGAAAGAGGACCTGAGTGTGAGCATGCAGATGGAGGAGAGCGGAAACACAGACATCATCGCCATGAGGGCGAAGGAAGAAAAGAGAGAGGGGTCCGGCACCGTACAAGGAAGTGAGTTTAGCCAAAATGATTTTCTTCTTCTTTTTTGGTAATTTTTATACTATGCACTTAATGGACATATTGCATTCACATCTTTTGCAGTGCCTAACGCTTTTTAAATGGAAAAACTCTTTCTGTGTCAGTAGCTTCTTAGTCAGTATTCAGTTTAGCCCAATGGCAGGTGCAAACATGCCTCCTTTCTGTAATACATTTATTGTCGGTCGCTAATTATTGTTACTTTTAACTACATTCATAATTAAATATGTCTGAATATAAATATGTCAGTTTATTTTGTCTGTTTATTTACACTACTGCTCAAATATTTTGGGTCAGTAATATTTTTGTAATAAAATTAATAATACTTTTATTCAGCAATGATACATTAAATTGATAAAAAGTGACAGTAAAGACTTTTATATTGTTACAAAAAACATCTATTTCAAATAAATAATTTTCTTTTGAACTTTCTATTCATTAGAGAATCCAAAAATAAAAAAATGTATTACAGCTTCCATAAAAATATTAGGCAGCACAACTGTTTTCAACTTTGATAATAAGAAATGTTCCTTGAGCAGCAAATCAGCATATTGGAATGATTTCTGAATGATCATGTTCATGTTTGCACTGAAGACTGGAGCACTGACTGCTAATCTTCTAATCTTGCTGTCTTCTTTCTCCAGGGATGGTCATGGAAGTGGTCTCACTCTCTCCACCACCCGTCCCATTCAGAAGACTCTGTCCAGGCAGGACAGTCAGTACAGTGAGGACCTGGACAATGCCATGAACAACAAGCTTGCCACCCAGCCACCTAGTAACTCCACCCCTCATGATAGTCTGCTCAATCTGGTCAACAGTGCCCACACTGCCAGTCTGGCACACACTGGCAGCGAGAGCAGCCTCATTCTCACCAACCCTTCCTCTACCACTGCTAATGTTACCAGCACTGGTCACCTGGGCATGAACCCCGATTACACTGCCGTGGACATTCCCCCGATGTTCCCCTCCAGTAACGCCATCCTACAGGGTGAGAGAAAGAGCTGAAAAGAATAACTGACCTTTTTTATTTATTGTCTTAATCGTCTGTCTTACTATGATGTTTCCCTTCCTCACGTCTCCACAGTCAATAAGAATGCAAACACCGAGCCCCTGCCCAAGAAGGAGGACATAAAGGGTGATGATGATGATGAGAAAGATGATGGGGGGCCTAAACCCATGCCACCCTACACCTCAATGTTCATTCTGACTACCACCAACCCGTGAGTGCAGTCATCTCTGTGAAACTGCCAGTCCTGGCACTGTGACTCTGCAGTTGGTCAATATTCAAAATTGCATTTTAATGCATTAACCCTCCCCTCCAACTGCCAATAATAATAATAATAATATCTGGTGTATAATGACCACTTTTCAAAGTCCAATCAATTCCAATGGATAAATCAGTTCCTGTCCTACTTATTTCCTACTTGAATATCCTGTTTCATTCGGAAATTTCTCCAATTATTGAAGTAAAATAGTGTTCACTCTTCATATTGACATTAAACAAAACTGACTGGAGTCACCTGGTTTCACCCCTTACTGTAGTTTTTATATTAAATTAAATGAGCTTTCTTTCAAAAGATGTTGTTGCTTTTGTTATTTTATTGTCTTTTTTATGAACGTCCACTTTAGATTTCGGAGGTTGTGCCACTATATCGTCACGCTCAGATATTTTGAGATGTGTATTCTGCTGGTCATTGCAATGAGCAGTATTGCCCTGGCCGCTGAAGACCCTGTCTGGCCCGATTCTCCCCGCAACAATGTGAGACACTCCCACATCTCAACATCCTCTCTTTATGTCTCTGTGGTTCAGTCCATTTTTGTCTACTGGACTTGTAACCATATCATCTGTCCATCCATGCTTCTAATCATTACCTAATTTGCTAGTTCACTTCTCCATAATTTTCATCTATTTATTTATCATTCTTTATATTCATCTTGTCATATTGATTTGTCATAAAGGGCTTAATTTTATTGCTAACACTGTTGCTCATCTGTGCTTTCAGGTCCTGCGGTACTTTGACTATGTGTTCACGGGTGTGTTCACCTTTGAGATGCTCATTAAGGTACATATCTATCCTGCACAGCTGTCTGGGCTAGGACGGTCTATGCTTCACTCTTAAACGCATTATATGTATATTGTATTTAAAGAGTTGTTTATTGGTCTCCATGTGGTGTCATGCAATAATATGAAGTATTATAGGGTTCATATTCATTTTAAGTTCATATAGTTGCACATGATTTTGGAAACAATCATAATACAAGGTTTGGGATCTATGATTATAATTTATATATATATATACAGTGGGTACGGAAAGTATTCAGACCCCCTTCAATTTTTCACTCTTTGTTATATTGCAGCCATTTGCTAAAATCATTTAAGTAAATTTTTTTTCCTCATTAATGTACACACAGCACCCCATATTGACAGAAAAACACAGAATCGTTGACATTTTTGCAGATTTATT